TAGTTTACTTGCAATTAATTTTTTTTTTTTTTTTGTAAATGAATGAAATTACATAATATTATTTTATAAGCGATTTTTTTTTTTTTTTGGACATTTAGGTTAATTAAAGAAAACTAACACACATCACATACACTAGCTCGAACACAAGACCTCTTGGTTGATAGCTAAAGCTCCTGACCAACAAACCAAAATGAGCTCTATTTTCATTTTTCATAACTTATAGTTAATTATGAATGATTACGCAACTAAAGGTTTCATTTGGTAGAGTTTTTAATACAAAATTTTCAAGTTTTAAAAAAATTGCACTAAAAAAAAAACAATAAGAAAGCTGTCCTAAACGAAACTGAAGTTAACCCTTATGGTCGGTTTCCTTGATGGCAATAGCTTCCATATGTAGTGAATTGCATATATTGATTTTCACATAATAATATCATTGATTTTCACATAATAATATCATTGATTTTCACATAATAATATCATTGATTTTCACATAATAATATCATTGATTTTCACATAATAATATCATTGATTTTCACATAATAATATCATTGATTTTCACATAATAATATCATTGATTTTCACATAATAATATCATCTACATCTATTTGCATGGCACTATCATCATCAATCATATCCTCTAAAAATTTGATACAATATTATAAAGGGAAATTTACATACATACCACTTTATAACATTCTATTTACATATCTAACATCAAAAACTTTAATATTATATAAATACCACCCTATATTGTTTTAATATCAAATATACCACCCATATTTCCTTCCTACCACTCATATATTTCATTTCTACCACTCATATTTCATATAAAAATGAACTATGGGTGGCATGTATGTAATATTAAAGTTTTAAGTGTTAAATATGTAAATAGAATAATATAAAGTGGTATGTATGTAAATCGCACATTGTAGTATTGCCACATACTAAAGAATGATTAAATAAGCATAAAATTTATGAATGTGTAAGTGAAAATTTTTACAGCATTTTACTTACTAATAGTCATTCTACCGGCGCTCCAGCGTAATGTGTTTGGTGGCTCCGACGGTGTCTTTAGTTGGCATAGAAAAGCCCAAGACCTACACCACCTCATGTACGACTCCCATACATTAAAAGGGCTTGATACCCATCACATATGTCGTTCTATATTTCTATATAATTGAGGTGATATTTTCACTTTCGCCATTCGCAATCGATCACACTCGACAATTTCCTCGAGTGCATCCACTCATCTGGGCTACTAAGTTCTCTCCGAAGAATCATGCTAAGCTCACCCACATTACAATACGTCGCACGGCAATATCAGCTCCGCAAAGAAAGTAATTTTTTAAAGTTATTATAAAAAGCAGCTTCCTAATACAAAAATAATAATGGCCGAACAAAAATTATGATTATAGTCTAAAAACAAAATAGAACTACCGTACTGTACAAAAAGGTCAGAGAGTTTCTAGAACAAAAAAACAAAACAAAAAATCATAAAACAATCATCTGTACAATACGATTTGAAAGAGAAATCAAAATAAGAAAAAAGGGCAAAAGTAAAGTGATGAATCGTTGAATAATATCAGTGAGAAATTGACCTTGGCAAAAGAAGGAAAGTTAGTCAGCGTCAGCTCATCCTGTAGGCCCAACCGTGCTTCTTCAGGTATGCTCGAACTGCCTCTTTGATGGCAAGGTTGGGTATCAATTGGTGGTTGCTAAGTGGCTCCCTTGTGATTGGATCGAATTTTCCCACCTGCAATAATCACATCATCATATTCCAGTATAGTTGGAACAGATTCATGGATTTTTTACATGTTCATTCAGACAAAAAGATAGCTTAGATGCATATATTAGCTGTAGAATCTAAGGAGGAAAATCAGAAAAAGTGTAGTGAGATCTAAATTGTTGTAAAAATTGGATTTTTGGTGAACACTGATTGCTCTTCTAATTCATGGGGGATACTTTGATGTTGTTAGAGATCACTTCTGTTTTTTCTTAATATTTTGAGATAAAATAATGGAATATATTTTGTACTTAAAAATATGCTATTTTTATTTTTGTTGAATATCAGATAAGTTGATTTAAATGGTGATTGCGGCGGTCACCATCAGAGCAATGGCGGCGGTCGGTTAGACGATGACAATAATATCTGCCTATAGTTGTTTTTAAAAACACCTCATTGACTGTTGTTAAAAACAACTTAATCTGTTTTTTTTTTAAACCAAAACAAAAAAAAAACACCTAAAAAATGCATTAAACAAATATATTTTTTAAATTAAAAAAAAAAAAGACAATGGTGATCAGGCCCTAGTTGTGGTAGAAAATGCACCGATATATTGCCATTGTGTTAGACCGGTCCAGCCGGTCTAGTACAAGGGACCGGCTCTTGTGCATATGAGATGAAATAAGAGTTTTGGCCAGGAACTTCCACCGCTCTCCAGGAGGGGTCCAGCAGTTAATTAGAGAAAGAATTAAGGGGTGGTTATGATGGAAAATTCAGAACAGGGGCTGTTTTGATATTGAATCATTATTGTATGCTTTAAGTAGGTTATTTTCCTAGGGTTAGGGATATGTTTTGTTTGCTGAAATTAGATTGTTCTTAGGTTGTTTGGGCTCTAGCCGGCGGCTAGGGATTAGGGAGAGTCATATCTTCCTCTCCAATTGAAAATCAATTGTATCTTGTTTGTTTTCTTTCGTATATCATCAATTAAAAGAGTTTTCTCTTGTTATTCCTCTTATTCTTCATGAGGATTGAGTTTATGATTGTTTAAATTAAATTGCAGTCAAGGGGAATTGGATTTCTACGAGCACTTCCTATCGAATTGTTTAGAGGGGAATCTGCACAGAGTTATGCTAAAAAAAAAAAATCATAGCATTGATATTAAAGTTAAATATCATGATACCTTTTGAAGGTGATCAAGCAGCGCTTTTCTTTCGTAGGTAACGCCACATGGGGTGATTACAGGATCCCGGAAAATATCAAGTGTTATCTTGCAACAGAGATAATCAGGTACCTGAAATAAAACATACCATTTTCATTAAATTAAATTTATACTTCTAATGTCCAAAATAGGAAGAAGACCGTAATCTCACTTCTTTCGGAGTGTCATCCTCAGCAGCTTTGCTAAAAACTTCCTTCAGAGTTTCAATTTGGTCTATGATATCTTTTGAAACTTCGTTAATTTCATCTTCAGATTGAGGGGCTTCAAGAAAATGATGCTCCAAAAGAGCATTTTCACAGATTTCCCTGAAGAATGGAAGCAAGTTGCGTTTTATAAAGAAACACTCTCTCACTTGTATGTCAAACAAAGAAATTGAATTGAGGCAAATTAAATTCTCGGAACTCGCTGATAAGAACAATGTCACCTACTTCAGTTTCTGCAGACGCCAAGCTCGCTTGCTGGATTGAAGTTCCCATTCTTTGTACTTTCCTTTGGCAAGTGCCTGCCATATATCCTCAACTATGCAGCCATCAGACTTTGTAACCCTTCCAAGATCAAGAGCCTGTGTTCAATAGCGAGTACAACTATGTTATATACTGATTTGACATTTTAATACACTTATCATGTTATAATGCTATCCTGACTACTAAAATGCCTGCTGAGAATTTATGACTGGCAGCAAACACTGTTTGGAAGCCACAAAATAGGTGTTTGAAGCACCTAGTTTATGCATAGTTTATGAAGAAATTATTCTGTGCGGAGGCCGGATGCAACTCTACGTCCGGAGACGAATCAAATGCAGTCACATCAGTGGTACCGAGCCACGGTATCGAACAGTACCGATCCGCAGTACACAGCAAAGGAGTGATGTGGCGCATTCTAGTTGATCTACGAAAGGCATTCGGCGTCCGCAGAATAATTATTCTAGTTTACAGATAGCTTCATATTTTATGATATAAACTCTCTGCAATACAAAACTAGGCTGTGTAGAATAATCCCTCAAACCTAACATTTTAGCCTCTCCAATTGGGTACTCCCATGGACTCAAATGCCGGTTTGTAAATTCTTGCATTCTAGAAAGTTGCCCTTTAGAAGTTTGAATCAGAAGTTTTCACCAAAGTTCAATCCAGAACGTCCAGCTTCTGCTTAAAGCATGAAAACTTACAATTGGACCAAAATAAAATCACTTCTCTCCATATATATATAACGAAAGCTTCCTCAATAATCCACAACAAGTATGATAGTTCTGCATTGGTTATGGAAATGTATAAAAAAATACCATAAATGAATGGCAACCTTATTATATGTTATATTCGGATGCCATACTTCTAATTTATGAAACCTCTACTAATAAGGGAAAAATTAAAAAATTAAAGAGCATGTGAATCCAAGCCCTCGTAATAAAAAATTCCATTTATAGTGAAACTGGGCATAATAGAATCGATAATATAAAGATTATTACAGTAAATTAAAAAGATTAAGAAATAATTAATTTAGAAGAAATAAGAGTTTTACCCATAAAGAATACATAGTGGAAAATAAATTTGGGTTATTCATTTATATACAATAGAAAGTAAATGATATGCTTATGAGACAAGCAAATAAAATTAATGTAAAAGGATTCAAAGATCCAAAAGAAAAACAGAAAGATAAAATGATGAAGGTAGAAATCCTAAAAAGAAATATTAGGCCAAATATAAGAATGGACGGAGTTAAGGACTCAGAAAGCTGACCACAAATATTAGGATAAGGATAATGATGATTATGTAAGATGATTATAACTTTGATTGTTCAAGCGCAACATATTCATGTGTTGTTCCTTGTTCTAATTCAGATTTCATTACGCCAGAAGATTTATTTCCTTACATATCTACACCAGATTATTTTTACAAAGCAACTGCAACGCCTTTTTACTCACCCGAAAATGTGTGCACCAATGCAAGGTTAACTGTAGAATCAAGCCCAAAATCTAAGCCCTAGTTAGACCCAAACCTAACATTTTAGCCTCACGAATTGGAGTGCCCAATATCAAGCCCTAGCTTTTTTTTAAAAAAAATAAAAGGAAATACATTAAAATAGGAAAGGTACAATCAAAGACCCCACACCGGGCCACAGCAATAGCTTACAATTAAAACCTCAAAAAACCCAAAATAAGGGAAAAAAGGGATATGAAACGGAAGACGCGGACTCAGACCAACGTCGGGTTGCCAGAGAGGGGCCATCCATGGGAGAAAAGAAATTCACAAATGAGAAGCTGCCAAGAGAACGAAAAGGGCCACCCAGGTTGCCACCAACCCTGGCCATCCACGACGCTTGTAGCAGCGCTGCTTCCTCATCGTCCATATAATAAAACTTGAATGGGCAACCAAACCAACAAACAAGCCCACGACACAACAAAAACTCAAGCAAGCCATAAGCCTACTCCAAGGGGACAGAACATAGCCCCCAAAAAGCAACCAAAAGCCAAAAAACCTGGTAAGCAACCAACAAGAAAACATCACCGGCCACGTCTGCCCCTCCCACGAGCCCTACCACGAGAGGCAACAGAAACAAGAGTTTTATCACGTAAAATGTTAAAAGGGTTCCCTGGGTAGTCATCCCCACTCGAATCCAAAGAACCAGAATCAGACCCATTAACAGATGAACCATGAAGCCAGTCCAAATGCACACGAACACGTCAATGCCTGAATTGTCCCCCACATAATACACTAAGCTCTTAGAATCAATTAAATTAACATAGACATCCACAAAATTGTTATTGACTATACAGTCATTCAAAACTGGAGGCGAGCTAGAGGTTGCAGACATAGAAACCACACAAACACCCGCATCCAAATTAACAGGAGCAGGATTCGTCGCATTCGGGCAATCCAAATCCAACGGCTCTAACGTAGTACTAGCCAAAACAGGCAGTGCTGACCTCCCAGACAAAACATAACCAACACAACCAGGGACCTCAGCACTAAGACACGCACGAGGGGCGACAAGTTGAGGAAGAAAAGGTTGAGCATCATGGGATAAAAGAGCGACAGCATCAACACCAATAACACCACCACCCGAATGAGACAATACGTCGACCACAGCATTATCCAAATCATCCAAATTGACCACAACAGCAGGGACAGAAGCGCAAGCAGGCAAATCTAAAGAGTGTGCCACAGGCACTGGAGACAATACAACATCCCGAATAGGCAAAGGAGAACTAGAAACACAAACTTCCTCATCCACATTATCAATAGCAGAATTAACAGCCAAACCACCATTTCCATGAATCAAAATAGCAGGAGCCGCAGGAGGTAAGGAATCATGAAAACCACAATCCAAATTAATAGAAGGCACCTCAGCAATAATAGGGGCAGCCACATGATTGGGCAGAGGGTGAAGAACAGGGCATTCAGGTTTAGAATGACCTAGGGATTTACAATGCGAGCAATAAACAGAAAAGGGCTCCATATTAACCGATTGAATATAGCCTAAAGTCTCGGATCCAACCCAAATTTTATCAGGATAAATCTTTGTAACATCTAATTCCACCAGAACCCGAGCAACTGAAGGCCGCCTACCAGTGGAAGTCGCCTGATCAATTTTTAGAAGCTTACCAAACATGGAGCCAAGCCCTTGCAAAACTCTCGGGGCAAAGAGGTGAGGCCTAAGATTAGGAAAGGAAATCCAAATTGGTATAGTAGGGGATTCGACATCAATGTCAAATGTAGGGGACCATTTGAAAACCTTCATGAAACAATTGTTCACAAAATAAGAACGATGAGAGAAAACTCGACAATAATCCAAGTCATTTTCCAGCTTGATTAGAATATGCTTAGGGTTGAGAACAGCGACAGAGAAAACTCCATTAAGTTTGAGATTGAAAAAAAAATTACGAATCGCTTCCAACGACGGACGATGGGTCGGAAATTTTCCAACAAGTGCAAACTCAAAAGAAGCAACTAGGGCTAGCACCTCCTCATCAGAAATCCAAAGTGAAGGAAGCCCTCTAAAAGACGAGATCTTAAGATCAGGATAAGAAGAGATCGAAGCTTTAGAAGAACCCGCTAAAACCTCACGAAAAGACCGAGAAGAAGGGGAACCAGACAAAAAACCAGGATCCAAAAGCCTTTTGCCCTCCATGATAGAAAAAAGCAGCAGAAAAATTACTGAGAGAGGAGAGAAATCTTCCTTGAGGCGGCAACGAAACCACGCAACGAAGGAGACGGTGCAAAACTCCAAACCTTAGCAGAGCGCATCATGAGAAAAAAAAAAGATTTTCAGTGGGATGAGCGCATCAAGACCTTGTTAGACCCAAAGTCAAACCTAATTTCAAACTCGTGGAATACAAGAGATTACATGAAAACTACATTAGGTGTTACATGATATTCAAAGGGCATAATTTAAAATGCAAAATCAACTTCCACATGTATAGAGATGAACCACTAAATAATCAAGAAGAAAGAAAATCCTTTTTTCAAATTCAGTAGGATGACTTCAAGATAATTAAGATTTTCAGGCTCACAAATTACTCCAGCCACCGTATTATTAGCTACTAAAGGGGAAAAGATACTAGACAAAATTCTCATGGCCCTCCCTTGTTCCCCAAATACAATATAATCCTAACCAAGCCAAGCTTCATCACAAAGGGAGAAAATAACGAGGCATGTCATAACAACGAGAGGACCAAGAATCAAGGAAAGCAAGGAAAAAAAGGAGAATAACCAACTAAGAACAAGAAAAATGTCATCTTTAAGAAAAATCTCTCTAATCTAGGCAAACCGCAATTATAACAATTCAACTGCCATCAAGAAGCATGAAGATATAATGGTCAATCCAATTATGCAAATTTAATCTTCCTTCGAAGAGAGCCAACGTTCATGAGGATCAAGAAAGCTCAAAAGGTGCTAAAAAATGTCTAATATCACTACCACTCAAGCAGTGTGGTACCACGCCACATTGGGCCACCCACGTTTGAGGGACACAATGCATTACAAAAAGGATAAGTATTATTCCTGCTTTAGATTAGTCCAACAAAACCTCATTAGTCAGTTTCTTGGGGGTCGATCCCACAATTTGGAGAAATTATTACTTGCGGACACCGGACATAGAATTATGTTCAAACTCCAATGAAAATATGATGCGAGTACTAGTGTATTATTAGGTATTGCTATTTATTATTGTGAATTTAATGTGTAATTGTGTATTAGTGTGTATTATTGTGTACTAGCTAATGCACATCAATACACAATAATACGTCCACACGCGTCATATTTTCATTGGAGTCTGAATGTAGCTCTACGTTCAATGTACGCAAGTAATAATTTCTCCACAAATAGGAGGTTATTACAAAATAGAAAGATTTTAGTCTTAACAACATTTATGACTGCCATCTTCCTTGGGACAAATCCAACACCATGAGTGGTAAGCTACACAAATGGTAAATACTGCTAAATTTGGACATGTCACATCAATTAGTTATATTTCATGGGAACTTTAATGTTATATGGTTTAACTACACAATTGAGGGGTCAAATACAAATTATATTTGCATTCAAACTAACGTTGATTTGCAAGAGCAAATGAACTCCAAAGGGAGGGTCATGATCCTTGTGGTTCTTTTATATAACTTAATATTGGTTAATTAGCAATCCAAATCAAATACAGGGACCAAAAGGGTGCACCAACACTTGGTTAACCATAAATCAAGAAAAAGTCATAATAATATTACACAGAAATCAAGCCTAACTGTTAGACCCAACTTAAGCCTATATGTCACATTGGGTTCATAAAGCATAATAGGCTCCATGCAAGCAAGGAAAGGCAGCATTAAATTCAAGGGACATGATTTAAAATGTAAAACAAACTCCTAAACATGTAAGGTTGGCCACCATATCCAAAAAAAAAGGTAGTGCACCTTCAAATTCAAGAGGAATCTAACAAAATCCAAGATTCCATCTCCAAAAATCAACCCAAATACCATATGACCAACCACTAAAGGGGGAGTCGAAAGATTGAATTTAAATAGAAAATGTATAACTCATTAACCTAGATGTAAAGGTTATCAAAATAAAGGGCCTTTCCAATCTGATAATTTATTTATCATGAATGAGATTGAGAATAATTCTTAACAATTATCTTCTCTATCCTAGAGTTTTGTTTCCTATAAATAGGAGCTTGCACCTAAAAAATTAAATTCAGATGAATTCCAATTCTACTCATGAATTAATAAGTCTCTCCTCCTCTCCTTCTCATTAGCTATCCAACCTTACACCATCTTGCAAATTTAGGCCATCATTGACCTCTCTGAACAAGATAAAGCCAACCGCCCTCTCTCTCACTAGAATAACATCTCTTTCTTGCTCAAGCCAAGGGAAAAGGGGAGAGAGAGAGAGAGTAAGGTGCAATTACTCAAAAAGAAAGAACGCATCAACGAGGCATATCAAGGCAAGAAGAAGAACAAGGAGCAACGAAAGCAAAGAACTTCAAAGAGATAAGTCCAAGCAGAAACAAGGTGATGTGACAGAAAATAGTGCAAAGACACAAATCTTCCTTTCTTACAAAATAGATAAATATAAACACTAAGATTGCAAATTAAGAGACAACTTCTTCCTTAAAATATAAACAAACATAAACAATATAACAATATTATTAAAAACAAAGACACACTACAACTTATAAAAACTTGTGAAGAAGGATACATGTAGAGTTTGAAAACCGTGGAGAGGAGTTATAATTCCAAGATGAAATACAAGAGTGGAAGGGGAAAGGAGGCTAGCTCGCAAGCAAAAAACCTGCAGGTTTTACATTCCACAATTTTTCATCTCTAAAAACCCTCCTTAAATAGCAACAAACAGTCACTATAAATAGGGAAAAAGAATACAAACAGCCTCCCACAAGTGCCACCCAAGCAACCAATCCAAACAGGGGAAAAAAACCAAAGAACAAGGCACGACCAGCCAAGGAACCGAGCAGCCAGGCATTCCAACAGCCAGTCTAGGAACCAAACAGCCAGGAAACCCAACAGACACCAAGGGCAAGGCACGGCCAGCCCAGAACCGAGCAGCAAGGCAACCCAACAGCCAGCCCAAAAACCAAACAACCAAAGAAACCCATCAGTCGTGACCTCCAAACACCAAGCAGCCAAGGACAAATGGGCCCAGCCCAATAAAAGAAAAAACAGCCCACCAATAAATGCATATTAAGAAAAAATTGAAACTTTTGCCTATATCAATTCTCCCTTTGTGGAAAAATCTCTATCTCCTGATGAGATAGATTCTGAACTTCTATCATGCGCAGACTAAGCCATATCCAACTCCTATATTAGAGCCACATACTTTCTTTTGAATCATTTATTTTTCTTGAATAAATTGGGCTTGAAGTTGACTCTTTCTCTTCTCAGTTCTTTCGGCACAAAAAAACATTTTTTCTTGAATTTTGCATAACTCATTCTAGATTGGATCTGTAGAACTTCCTTAGGACGGGATCCATCTGCTTGTTGGAATTTTGTCTTCACGATTTTTGTAAACAACAGGTTCTATTATATCAGGATTGTCCTTTTTTTTAATTTTTCTAAAGAAAAAAAAGGAAGACACATTAAAATCTAAGGCTCTGATACCAAATTGATGCGACAGGAAATAATGCAAAGACACAAATCTTCCTTTCTTATAACATAGATAAATATAAACGCTAAGATTGCAAATTAAGAGTCTTCTTCTTCCTTAAAACATAGACAAACATAAACAAAATAACAATATTATTAAAAACAAAGACACGCTACAACTTATAAAAACTTGAGAAGACCTAGAGTGTCAACATCATAGAGCAAGCTTGGAGTCCAAATCAAAGAAGAAAACTTAGAAAAGTCTTTTACACTCGAGGTGTTTTTAATTGATTGATGATTAGGGAACCTATATATATATATATATATATATATAAGTAGGCATCAATAAACGAGAGAATATTTTCTTGTCCAAGATTCACATTGAAAGTCCAGAGACAAATGAAATAGAGAGGCACATGAGTCAACTCTTATTTGGTCAAACAAATGGTTGAATTAATTGGAGTGGATGAAAATATAATCCACTAAAACCACATTGAATCCTACCTACACTCTTCCTTATCCTACCTACACTTTTCCTTCTACTTTCATTCCCTCACCAACAAATACTTGTCAAGTAAATGTTGGAAATGTGAAAGGCGTTGATCAGAATGAAGAAGAAAATGTCATTATGATAAATAAACGAATGAATGGATCTTTTAAAGTAAAATCCAAAGTGAAAATTCTAACTTATGAATGGATCTTTTAAAGCCAAACTCTCCCTACCTTAGGCAAGGAAGAGAAGTTGGACGTGCATAACTCTTCAAGGAGGGATAAAGGCTACCATTAAAGAGATTCATCAAGAAAAACATAAATGAAGTTGTTTGCTCAAGAAAAATGGCGCTTCAGCATAAATCCCACTTTACAGAGTTAATATTTCATTCTCCTTAAGGTAGATTGATTTTTAATTAACTAGATTTCTCCTGAGAATTATATCATGGTTTATTTAGATCTAGATCATTACTTCCAATGAGCGCAAGCCCTCACAGTTAATTATCCCTCATACTGCGTAAGAGAGAAGTCTCAATTAAGAATGAATAAATAAAAAAGAGCTTTGGAAGCTTAAGTTTTAGTCTCGTTTGTTGGGGAATGGAGGTAGACCCGATCAAGATCCTATAGTTCTGTCATCCAGGGAATACCGTAAATCTCGATTTACCAACGCTAACAAACCATTGGTTGTAACATCCAAGGAATTTGATTAACAGCCATAGGTTGCCTCCTCTCAGGGATCCTAAGTAGACTGAGATAATTGGAGGTTGGTTTTGATTTTTTAATTTAAGTTTGAGGCTTATGACTCCTATTAGGAGTTGCCTAGAAGTTTAGTTTATGATGAGGCTTATGACTTCATTTAGAAGTTGACTGATTGTTTGGTTTAGTTTCGGGCTTACGACTATATTTAGGAGTCGCCCAAAAGTTGGATTTAGTTTGGGGCTTACGAATCCACTTAGGAGTTGCTCGTAGATTGAATTTGGTTCGGAGTTTACGGCTCCACTTAGGAGTTGCCCAGTGATTTGATTTAAGATGGGGCTTATGACTCTATTTAGGAGTTGCCCAATAGATTAATTTAGGATAGGGCTTAAGGCTCCACTTAGGAGTTACACGTTCGTTGGTCGAAGCTTACAGCTCCACTTAGGAGTTGCTTGTTTGCTTAATTTAGATTGAGGCTTACGACTCCATTTAGAAGTTGCCCGATAATGTGGTTTAAAAAAGGGCTTACTGCTTCCCTTTGAAGTAGCTTGTAATTAAAGTTAGGAATATGTCTTACTTGGTCTCAGGGATCCCGAATAGACTGAGATGGTTGGAGGTTGGTTTTGATTTTTTAATTTAAGTTTTGGGGTCTATAACTCCTAGGAGTTGCACAAAAGTTTAGTTTAAGATGGGGCTTATGACTTCGTTTAGAAGTTGCCCGATAGTTTGGTTTAGTTTAGGGCGTGCGACTCTATTTAGGAGTTGCCCAAAAGTTGGATTTAGTTTGGGGCTTACAGCTCCACTTAGGAGTTGCCCATAGATTGAATTTGGTTCGGGACTTACAACTCCACTTAGGAGTTGTCTAGTGATTTGATTTAAGATGGGGCTTATGGCTCTATTTAGGAGTTGTCTGATAGTTTAATTTAGGTCGGACTTACGGCTCCACTTAAGAATTGTCAGTTCGTTGATTGAGTCTTACGGCTCCACTTAGGAGTTGCTTGTTTGTTTAATTTAGGTCGGGGCTTATGGCTCCATTTAGAAGTTGCCTGATAATTTGGTTTAAAAAAGGGCTTATTGTTTCCCTTGAAAGTAGCATGTTAATTTTATTTAGGTGTTTAACACTTCTCTTAAAAGTTCCCCGAATAGCAAGTCCTACTACTTCCATTCAAAGTTGTTTGTAGATTTGTTTTGGATGAGTCTTACGACTTTCATTGAAACTTGTATATAATTTTGTAGGACTTACTACTTCCCTTTGAAAGTAGTCTGATTGTTTGTTTGGTAGGTCTTATTGCTTATATTAGAAGTCTGATTGTTTGCTTGGGTAGGTCATATGGCTTTTTTAGAAGTTGCCTGTAAGTTTGTTGTTGATCTGCACGCTGAATCCAAAGGAAACAAAAAAAAAGAAGCCATAAATCCTGCATACAAACCTCTTACCCGACAGATCCATGGATTCTGCCGCAAATCCAGTTGAAATCGGCGCCGAATAAGGTCATCTCCCACGATTCAAGCGTGAATCCCGCCTCGGTTCGTCTCCTTTCGCGTCTTTAAAAGCCAACCGAGCGGACACCAATGGCTGCTCTTCTCCCGTTCGCTACCTCTCTTCCACACTCGCCTCCTCCCCACTTCCCATATTGACATTTTATATTTACGCAATCTTTTGATTTTGAGGCTTACGCCTCGCCTCACGAATGAAAAACGCCTCAATACCCGAATACGCAATTTTAAACATTGGTTTGTATTAAGATGTTTAGTGTAAACACTCATTTTTTATTATTTATTACATTTTATCTCATTTTATTATTACTTAATTAATTAAAGGGATTTTGAATTGGTTGATTAATTAGTTAATTAATTAAATGAAATTTCAATTTTATTTTTGAATTGAATGCTAATTAATTAGATTTTAAATTCATTTTAAATTGATTGATTAATTGTTAGATTTTTATTTTAAATTTGATTAATTAATTATATATCAATTAAATGAAATTTTATATTAATTTTTAAATGAATTAATTATTTATTATTAAAATTCTAAAATTACTTTTCACTAGCTCCAAAAGAAAATTCGACAACCTCACGACGTCCCCTCCCTGCAAGTAGGAGATACGACGGCATAGGATCTTTGAATTAGTAATCAACTCACTCGGATAAAAGATCAACAACGCGAAGCCTTCAATTTTAAAATTTATCCCGTCTGAATCAAAAATCACCGAGCAGGTCTTCAAGCTTAAAATTCATCTCGTTCAGATCAAAGATCAATGACACGGGGCCTTTGAATTAGAAATTATCTCGCTCGGATCAAAAATAGATGATGTGAGGCCTTCGATTTTAAAATTTATGGGTCTTTGAATTATAAATTATCTCGCTCCGATCAAAAATAGACTATGTGAGGCCTTCGATTGTAAAATTTATCCAGGCCAGAACAAAGATCACGGTTCGAGTCTTCAACTTTAAAATTCATCACGCCCAGATCAAAGATCAATGGCATGGGGGGTCTTGAAATCAACAGATACATGTTGCCTTTATTGCCAAAATAATAATGATAATAATAACTATTTAATTATATGGCAATTTCATTTAATTGCTTAAACCAATGCATTCACTCGGGCTCAGTCTGTGAATTAGAGAAAGATAGTTTTGAATACTGTCTCACTAACTATCTTGAAATAATTTAGCCGAAAATAAAATGACACACAAGCAAACAAAATAAGCAGGCTTGCTTGTGAAGTGGAGATCGTGCAGACACATGTGCAGGTAGGGCTAATCGCATAGAGTGGGTAGCAGGCTGATCGCGCGAAGCATATAGGCAGGTCCGATCGAACGAGTGAAAAGGTGTTGGTGGGTCGTGCAAAGCAGGAGTTCACGTGTAGAGGGATGGGGGCATCGAGCACTGAATCACGCTAGTGAGGGAGGACATGCGGCCGTTGGTTTGCCGCTGTGGGTGCATGTGGAGTGCTATGCAGGTCGGACGAGCGAACTTGTGCAAGAGTTTGGACTGTGCGAGGGATGAACGAAACAAGATGAGAACAAAGCATAAGTTTTTTTTCCTCAATTTCCCTGCCTTTTAATTAATCAAATCATCAAACAAATGTGTTGCTTCGTGAAGCAGTGCATTTGTTTGCTCTGAAACCGTGCTGTATTTGTTTTTTCTTTTTCTTTGTTTCTTTTCTTTTTTTAATAGTCAACAGAAGCCCATCTTCAATACCCACTATTAAATTTGTGGATACTAAACTCTTCATCAAGATTGACTCCACCAAAGTGAAAACCATCAAAGAGTGGTCAAGGCTGCGTAAAACCACTTACTCACATAGTAGCTTTCAGCCAATCAAAGATACCCAAAAAGAATGAAAAAACTGCCTTCCAAAGAATAACAGGGCAAAATTGCCAAAACTGGAGAATCCTCCATTACTACTGGAGCTTAATGAGCAATCCTCTTGCCAATTCAAGCATGAAAACAAGTATAAGTCAATGTCTCATCAATTTTGGCAAGCATAAAAGCTAAACACTGCTATAGAACAAAGTCAAATCAAGCAGTACATCGAGGTGTGACATTGAGCATTAGCATAAACGAATAAAAACAGCAAAGAGATGCATAATTAAGAGGCTCATAAAATGATGAAAACTACCCAAGCTTCATGAAATATTAAGCTCTTAAAATTCAAAGTTTCAGGTAAGTTCACAAAAACTTCCTAAATGAGTTGTTGCAAAACACATCAACTTGGTAGCTATGAGCCTCGAAAGTCAGACTTCCCCATCTTGAGCTTTAATTTCATAGAATTGAAATCTTCTAAAGTGGGGAAACCATGATCTGAAGATCAAATTGTTTCAAAGAAGTCCATAGAAGAAGTTTTCCTCATAATCAAGGAAAAATGAGAGAATACAAAAACTAATGCCCTTGAAGCATCAAAGCCAGGTCTTAAACATTTTGTTATATGTCAAATATAATTGAAGTGATGAGTTTGGAAATGTGAAACAAATAAATTTTCCATAAAAATTGTCTTATTCATTCTTTTTAAAAATGCCACGAGCAATCCTCCCCCACCATAACACCTGACGACAGCATGGAAGCATTTTTTCGTGAAATTAGTTATTCCCTACTTAGAACCAAATAGAATAA